ATGATGCTGTTGATGGTGATGATGATGGTGATGGTGACGATGATGCTGATGTTGATAATGCTGCTGATGATGATGCTGGTGATAATATTGCTGTCGCTGCTGCTGGCGATGCTGATGAGGATGCTGATGATGATGAAGATGCTGCTGCTCATGTTGTTGTTGCTTGTGATGATTAGCCTCATGATGATGGTGATGATGATGCTGCTGATGATGATGATGATGATGCGGACGATGGTGATGATGGTGATGATTATCATGATGCTGATGCTGATGTTGATGCTCATGCTGCTGCTGATGATGATGATGGTGGTGGTGATGTTGATGGTCATGATGATGGTGGTGATTTGGATGAGGCTGAGGAGGGAGAGGAGGAGGAGTAGGCTTAAAAGGAGGAGGAGGAGGAAGAGCTTTGTAATCGTGGAGGTGCTTGGAATGGTGTTGTAGATGATGGCGACGGCGATGACGAGAATGATGGGGGAAGGGAGGAGGAGCCGGGTGAGCAAGACATATTTCGAGCGTCAGTTGGTGCGGGCGAACAGTACCGACAAGTGGAAATTCCAGCAGTTACGACCATCTCCCATCCTCCCACCTCTCCCCACGTCGCCTGTTGTCACCTCCTCCTCTTCCCAGTCCTTCCTTCTTTGATACGCGGTCCTCTTCCCGCCTTTCCCTCCCGCCTCATTTTACCCCCTTGTCTCCCTTCTCATCATGGCCGTCTTTCACGCCCCCTTCCTCTGCATCCTTGTTCCCTTGAGTCGATTCCTTTCTTTCTTTCCTTCCTTCTTTTGCCCTTCATGCGCGTGCCGCCGCACGCGTTCTGCTCAAGCTACAATTAATTCCCTTCCTTTAAGAAGGTGGCTCCAGCTTCAACTGTGCTGGAGAAGTGTGCGCGACCGCGCTCGGGCGAAGGACACCGAGCACGTCCCGCATGCGCGCCGCCATGTCGCTTATCAGCGTCAAGGCAGGTTCAGCCTTGAAGATCTTCGTGAATGGAGACCCGTGGCTAGGATAGCCTAGACAATCTGAGTTAGACGCGTAAGTGTATCTGGATCCCCTGACTGAAAATCACACGCCGAACAATCGCAGGGTGATGCCGCCCTGTGTTGCCCAGGTGGCAGCGATTACCGCAGCCGCAACACAGCTGGCAGTGATGACGAGGTGCCAGATGACAGTCTGACCGATCCAGTGGATGTGTTGTTTCGGGAGGTCAGGAGACAAAATCAATACTGATTCAGAAAAAGATTCAAGAATTGAGCGAGGATCCTCGCGATACTACGACCAGATGTCACGGCCCTCGTCTATTTCCCGACCACTGCCACTTGTGCCGGGTAAGAATCGGACTGGGGTCAAGTCGTTCCGAGAGCAAGAAGTTGATTGTACGATCGTGCTTCCAAGCGGTTTCAAGAGCGTACTTTCCACCGTCCTTGGCCAACTTCTCGGCAGGCAGTCGGGCTGGGACTGGCGATATTTCTCCATGCGCGGCGGAAAAGATTGAAGATGACGTGGGCGAAGGAGGCCGGTAGTCCCACAGTCACTATGTCTATATGTTTGCACACGGCGAACTTGATTCTAGGAGCGTTCGACCCCGTCTAGTGCGCAAAGAATCCGTGGGGCCAGTACAGATTCACCAAGATATTTGTTCAAATGCCCCAGCGAGCGTGCTTCCCGATCTCACTGACGTCGGTCGGCCTTCGGTCTTTGACGGCACAGAGGGGGATTGACTTTAGGACCAGTTCCCATTGTCCACAATCCACCAGGGAGGATGATGTACTGAAGGTCTCGCGAATTGCCGCGAAGAGGCATTGTCTCGTGCCGTCGCAGTCACCTGCGTTTGACGTCAGTCCGCCAGCGAGCAGCGATACCCGTCGGGGAAGCCCTGCTTGGCCAGAACATAAGAGAGAAAGAGAGAGATAGAGAGAGAGAGAGAGAGAGAGAGCCTGAACATGGCCACTGCAAGTACTCCCGTCAGAAACACGAGGCAGAGTAGAGACTCGTCGAATACCTTGCGGCTGAGCTGGGACATGGCCCCATCGGTTCAGAGCAGGAATGATCGGTGCGTCATTGACCGCACGCGGTCCAGGCCGAGGGCCCTCATCAGTTTTAGCAAGCCGCGTGGCTGCAGGACATTGGTAACGAGCGCGCGCTGGCAGCCTACTGCCTGGGTGCGCGGCAGGGTCTCGATGCCCGGGCCAGTCAGGACAACTGTTCCAGGCCTGCATGTTGGACGCGCTCCTGCGCGCGCAGCGATTGTGGCGTAAACTTCCTAGATGATGGGCGCATTGCACGCGCCGGCCACAGCTGCGCTGCCCGGCGGAACGCAGAATGGCAGGCAGCGCAGCATCGAGCGGTTTCGACCGCATTCCCAGAAGTACAAGAGGGCGACGAGCTTCATATACGACAACTAGAGATAACGCGGGCTGAGGCAGCGGAAAAGTCACCGCAGAGGGCCAGCATCGAGATTGCCGAGGGCAGGGCCCCAGCAGCGGCCGAAAATGCAGAGGCCGAGGCCGCAAGGGAAGCAGAGGCTCGATGAATAATGTAGCAGCGAATGAATGTCTCTGCTTGAGCGCGACAGAGCAGGCTGCCGGACTCGGCAAGACGTCGGAAGCCAGGGCAGAGGAGGTCATTCGCGGAGACCCGCGAGGCCTGGGCTGCGATATTTGAGGTTGGACGACCCAGATTCATATGGGCGAAATGATGGCCACGGGGGCGGGAGAAGGGCCGGCCGGGCCGGGAGGGACAAGACAGACCGCCGTTCCACGGCCTCAGCTTTCGCATTTCGAGATCGCGAGTTGCGCTCGCCAAGCCTCCGCCGCATCAGTGGCCTTACAGCGGGCCGGCGCAGGGGTGGCCAGCTGGGGGGGTGGCGGGGCCGCGGCGTCAGCTGATGGCGGCGCCGCGGCGTGCTGCTCGCCCGGGCAGGCCTGGCTCGCAGTCTGCGGAGTCTGCGAGACATCGCGTTGCGAAGGCCACTTCAATGCGGGGGCCGCCAGATGCGACCCGCGCGCCGATAGGTTGAGTTCCAAACAGGAAGCACGCGCAGCAGCAAAGAGGGGGAACATAGCCATTGGCGTGGAGCCCCGAGTAGAGTTGCCACTGGGGCCGTCGGTGGAGCCCCCTGTGGGGCAACGATTTGCCGTGCTGGGCGGGGGCCCCGCATGCGAGAGCAGCCGCTGGGGCCTTCGGCGGGGCCCCCTTATGGGGCTGCGAAGCGCTGCGCTGGGTTGGGGCCCCACAGTCGAGCGCAGCAATTGGGGCCAACGTTGGAGCTCCTTATGGGCCGCGGCGCGAAGTGTCAAGGACCCGCCCGCGGCGGTGGAATGGCCCCCAGCCCCTTCCAGAGGGGCGAATGGGGGCTGGCCGCGCAGGGGGCGGATGGCCGAGCGCGCTGATCGCTCCGTCGACCGACCCATTGGACGTCGACCGACCCATTGGACGTCGAGGATGACGACGTCGAGCCGCGTGGTGCGCGGCGTGGCGCAAGTGCCACCGCTATTCCATGGGCGCGAACGGAGCGCGGCCCCCTTCCGAGTCCTCGGCCAATCTGTCGGCCACGACCGAGGCCCCGCTTCAGGGCGCGAAGCGAGAGTGGCGCGACTGCAGATGCCTCTGGGAGGCCTGGAAGTGGGCGCCAACGCCAACGCAGGGGGGTGCCTTTACAGGGGGGGGGGGGGGCGTGCGATCCTCGATTTCGGTGTTGGTGGCAATCGGCCACCTTGGAATGCAGTATATGACCGCCGTCACCGCGATGGGGATCATCTTCCCTCGGTGGAGGCACGCCGCCGATATTGGCGTTGGCGTCAACTTCTAGGCCTGCGAGCCTCTGCGAGGAAGCGCGCGTCTCGGCCGCGGGGGCGGGGGCGCGGTGGAAACAGGGGCGGGGGCAAAGGAAGTTTGGGCACGCCCTCGCATTGCAATCGCCGGGATATTGACGCCGGCGCGAACCGTGAAATATGAAGTTGAAATGGCGGGGGCAGAGCTACCGGAGTTGGCAATGTTGGCAGCGGCGATTAGAGATCACGTCGGAACTGGCAGACGCTGCGAAGTTGGCAGCGCCAGCGGTGGCGACCGGAGCTCGGGGAATGGATGGCGCGCAGATAGATTGAAGGATGAGTATGGCATGTCTTCGTGGACGTACGTATCAGAGATGGAATGGGGCAAGAAGGATCAGAGCGACGGCTTGGTGGTCGAGGTCGTCGCGAGTTGCGAGGCGACATAGTCGGCCGAGCGATCAGCGCCGGGCGCCCCTCGGGCTTGGCGAATATATCCGAGGTCCGTCGTGCGACCGCGTCGCCGCCGCTGCGGTGGGGGTGGGCGCGACGCGGGCGACGAACGCTGTCAATGTCATTTTGGGGGACTGCGCTGCCCGGAGCAGTGTGCTGAAAGCTGGCAAGCGAAGGTGCGGGGTGCCCAGTGCGGGGACAGTCGATTCCTTTCGCTCCCTCCTGCCTTTTTTTCCCTTCGTGCGCGTGCCGCCGCGCGCGTCTGGCTCAAGCCATAGCGAGCTTTCAAAGGAGGTGGCTCCAGTTGCAAGTGCACTGGAGGACCGATCGTGGCGGCGTTCGGGCGAAGCAAGGGGCATGCGCCGCGCGCGCCGCCATGTCGTCAATGTCAAGGGAGGTCGCGCCGTGAACATCGACGATGAAGGATCCTCAGAACTCTGAGCTAGGATCGTGCGGAGCATATTCAGGATATGCGCAATGTAATCTCGATCGTCTTACCAAACACACCTTGTTCCGCTTCTCCCCTCTCCCCTCTGCCGTTTCTTCTCACGTTCCTCCTTCCACGCTATTTCCCACCAGTGTCCTCCTACTTGTCCCCTCCCTTCCTCCATGTCCCCGACCCCTCCCCGCTCGCACCGCTCTTACGACGCTGTCTCTCTCTCTCTCTCTATCTCTCGCTCCCTCTCTCTCGCTCTGTCTCTCTCTCCCCCTCTCTCTCTCTCCCTCTCCCTTTTCCCCCATTCTTCTCTCGCTCTCTAACCTTCCTCCCTCCGCCAGCACGGTCGTCCTCTTGCGCGTGTTCCTGCACCGCAAGTACACGTGGTGGCTCTTTCTGTTTTTCATACCCCTGCCCGGGCTACTGGATCCGAAGGAGGTGCAGGGGTAGCACGACGACGGCCATGCTGTTGTTGATCAGAATCCTGGTGTGGATGACGGGCACGTCAAACACGATGGCGATGACGGTAGTAGCCGCGACGCGGATTTTCGGGGATGGGTGGACGGGGGGGGGCAACAAAAAGAGGAGCAACAGGAGGAAGAGGAGGAGGATGGGGAGGAGGAGGAGCAGCAACGATAATATGACAGGAATGGGGACGAAAAGGGAACACAGAGCGACGAAGACGAGAAAAGAGGAATATGAAAGGATGGGGAGGAGGAAGATGGGGTGCCACCTGGGTGTTCGGCCCCCCCCCCGAGTGCCGCAGGGGGCGCCACGCCCGCGTTGGTGAAGCAGGAAAACGAGCGGGGTATCGTAGTACATTGGAAAATATCGGGCATGCGCATCAGGAGGCGGTACGGATGGAGAGGGACGAATTGCTGAGGATGGGGGGTCGCAGAGCCACAGTTTTTCCCCACAAGCGATGTATGCGTGTGTGTATATGTACGTATGTCTGTCTGTCTGTCTGTCTGTCTGTCTGTCTGTCTGTTTGTCTGTCTGTCTGTCTGTCTGTCTGTCTGTCTGTCTGTCTGTGTGTGTATGTATGTATGTATGTATGTATGTATGTATGTATGTATGTATGTATGTATGTATGTATGTATGTATGTATAAATGTATACACATCGCCATTCACATGAGTCCGTGGGAACCTTGGCGGGTTTGCGTGGACACGCGGTTCCCCGAGCTCCCCGAACGGCCACCCGAAGGCGCCCCGAGAGCCCCCCAACGGCGGCAGAACCCTCCTGACGAACCCCCATGCGGCCCATGTGGGTCCCCAGACTATCCAAGACGGCCCTCCGGCGGCCCAGGCTGCTCCCCTGACGGACAACGGCGCCAAGAGGGCCCCCAGGGGACCCCAGAGAGGGGAGGAGGAGGAGGAGGAGGAGGAGGAGGAGGAGGAGGAGGAGGAGGAGGAGGAGGAGGAGGAGGAGGAGGGAGGAGGAGGAGGAGGAGGAGGGGAGGGAGGAGGAGGAGGAGGAGGAGGAGGAGGAGGAGGAGGAGGAGGAGGAGGAGGAGGAGGAGGAGGAGGAGGAGGAGGAGGAGGAGGAGGAGGAGGAGGAGGAGGAGGAGGAGGAGGAGGAGGAGGAGGAGGAGGAGGAGGAGGAGGAGGAGGAGGAGGGGAGGAGGAGGAGGAGGAGGAGGAGGAGGAGGAGGAGGAGGAGGAGGAGGAGAGGAGGAGGAGGAGGAGGAGGAGGAGGAGGAGGAGGAGGAGGAGGAGGTGGAGGAGGAGGAGGAGGAGGGAGGAGGAGGAGGAGGAGGAGGAGGAGGAGAGGAGGAGGAGGAGGAGGAGGAGGAGGTGGGAAGAAGAAGAGAAGAAGAAGAAGAAGACGAAGAGAGAAGAAGAAAAAAGAAGACGAAGACGAAGAAGAGAAGAAGAAGAAGAAGAAGGAAGAATAAGAAGAAGAAGAAGAAGAAGAGGAGGAGGAGGAGGAGGAGGAGAGGAGGAGGAGGGGGGGGGGAGGGGAGGGGGAGGGGGAGGGGGAGAAGGGAGGAGGGAGGAGGAGGAGGAGGAGGAGGAGGAGGAGGCCCAAGGGGTCCCCTGAGAGAGCCCCATCCAGCAAACATCGCAACATTCCCCTCCGGAAAACTTACGTTTTCAGCAAACTCGCCGTTTGGGTCGTCCCCGCGTCCACGGCAGCCCCGGAGGCGTCCAGAATCGTCCCACGACCGCCCAAGAAGCTCCCAAGAAGGCCCCCAGATGGTTCATGACGGGTCCACGAGGCTCCCAAGACGGCCCAAGAGGACCGTAGGAGGGGCCCCAGAGGGGCCCAATATGGCCCAAGATGGACCCAAGACGGCCCAAGAGGCGTCCAACATGGCCCAACCAAGACGGCCCGACAAGCGCCCCACGAGGCCCCAGTGGGCCCCAGGACCCTCCCCAGGAGTTCCAAAAGAGTGCCCCCAACGACTTACGACGCGGCCGCGGAGCGGCGAAGGCGCTCCCGCGCCGTCGCTTGACCCAGCCGCGCCACGGCCGCCGCCGCGCGGGCGCCCGGCTCGGCTTGCGGCCGCTCGCCTAAGTCTAGGGCTCCCCACGCCGACGTCGCCGATGCATCGCGGATGCATCGCCGATGCATCGGCGATGCATCGGCGATGCGGCGCGATCCCTCGACCCCATCTACTCCGACCCAATCTAGGAGGCCTCTACGAAGGCGAACAGCGCGGCCCTACAAAACTTCCCTTCTCCTGCTGTCATCGTATCGTCGCCCGCCCGCGGCATGGGAACGCCATTCGAACACTCATCGCGAACAATCATCGCCCGTCGCTGACTGCGTCGCACACCCCCAGAAAGTACCGCCAGAGTTCCATCCCCCCAGCTCCGTGGTTTTGATACACGGGTCCACACCAGGCTCTGAAAAAATGGGGGGGGGGCCCGGGGCCACAAAGTGCACTCATTTGTCTTCCTGCCGTTTCGGGCCTGGCGGGGGACGCCAAAAAACGTCAAAGGGGGCCGAGAGACGTCGACGTCCAAGAGGGTGTCAAGACGGCCCCAACAAAACCAACGCTCCCGCTCGAGACTTCTTCCCGTTTTACCTTGGACTGGCGCGCTATTCTTTCGTTCATCGGCGCCGCCCCCAGCAAAAACAACGCTCCCGCTCGAGGCATTTGTTTTCCTCAGAGCCGGTGCTTTTTGCTCGCCGCCGAACACCGCCGCCCCAACAGAACCAGCGCTCCCGCCCGAGACTTCCTCCCGTTTTACGCTGGACTATCGCCCTACTCTCTTTTGAATTGGCGCCGCCCCCATCAAGAACAACGCTCCCGCTCGAGGCTTCCTCCTTGTTTCCTGAGGACGGTGTTCTTGCTCGCCGCCGACAGCCCCCGTCCCGACAAAACAGTCTCGAGACTTCTTCCCTCCTTGCTCAAGGCGGTGTTCCTCCTGGCCGCCGACAACCGCCGTCCCAACAGAACCAGCGCTGCCGCTCGAGACTTCGTTTTGTTTTACTCTGGACTAGCGCCCAATTTTCTTCTGCATTTTCGCCGCTCCCAGCAACAGCAGCACCCATGCTCGAGACTTCCTCCTCCCTTTCCATTCAGAGCCAAGTCCTTGCCTCGCCGCCGACAGCCCCCACACCCACCAAACCAATCATGTCGCTCGATATGTCCTTGTGCTTTACCCTTGGCTGGGGCTCCACTGGCGGTCTCGCATCGGCGCAGCAGGGCGAGGGCATTTATTTTCAAGGCGGGAATTGTTGAAATTCCTCGGAGGAGGTGTTTGCAAGACCTCATATGGCGGAATATCTGGGAATGGGTGTAACGGTCCCCCGCGATAGAACAATAATCCCCCATGATGGGGATGGTTATCATGATGGTCGCATTCTGCGTGTGGGAGCATCGCGCATGAGGGTCAACTGACTGTTGTTGTTGGTGTTGTCGTTCTTGAATGCTAATTCTTATCAATTATTATTGTTGGACCCCCCCCCAGGCGCTCTGGCGTTCTCACCTCGGCGCCGGCTACATTGTCATTGAACATGAGGCTCACGCTCGAGCGCTTCGGGGGGTGGGGTGGGGGGCAAAACCGACCCCCCCACAACAACAGCAACAACAACAACAACAACAACAACTTCAACTTCAACTTCAGCTTCAACTTCAACAACAACAACAGCAACAGCAACAGCAACAACAACAACAACGCTCCCGCTCGAGTTTTTCTTTATTTTTTTACTCAGGCCCGGCGCTCTTTGCTCGCCGCCGAAAACCGCCGCCCCAACAAAACCAACGCTTCCGCTCGAGATTCCCGTTTTACCTTGGACTGGCGCGCTACTCTTTCGTTCATCGGCGCCGCCCCCAGCAAGAACAACGTTCCCGCTCGAGACTTCTCGCTTTTTATTCAGAGCTTGTGCTTTTTGCTCGCCGCCGAAAACCGCCGGCCCAACAGAACCAGCGCTCCCGCCCGAGACCTCCTCCCGCTTTACGCTGGACTGGCGTCGAACTCTTCTTGAATTGGCCCCGCCTCCAGCAAGAACAACGCTCCCGCTCGAGGCTTCCTCCCTTTTTCCTGAGGACGGTGTTCTTGCTCGCCGCCGACAGCCCCCGTCCCGACAAAACTGCGACTCTCTCTCGAGACTTCTGCCCTTCTTACTCAAGGCGGTGTTCCTCCTCGCCGCCGACAACCGCCGTCCCAACAGAACTAGCGCTCCCGCTCGAGACTTCGTTTTGTATTACTCTGGACTAGCGCCCTACTCCCTTCTGAATTGTTGCCGCTCCCAGCAACAACAGCACCCCTGCTCGAGACTTCCTCCCTTTCCCTTCAGGGCCAGGTCCTTGCCTCGCCGCCGACGGCCCCCACACCCACCAAACCAATCCTGTCGCTCGATACTTCCTTGTGCTTTGCCCTTGGCTGGGGTTCCACTGGCGGTCTCGCATCGGCGCAGCAGGGCGCGGGCATGTGTTTTCGAGGTGAGATATGTTGAAATTCCTTGGAGGAGATGTTTGCAAGACCTCATATGGCGGGAGATCTGGGAATGGGAGTAACGGACCCCCGCGATAGAACAATAATCCCCCATGATGGGGATGGTTATCATGATGGTCGCATGCTGCGTGTGGAAGCACCTCGCATGAGGGTCAACTGACTATTGTTGTTGTTGCGGGTGTTGTTGTTGTTGGTGGCGTTGTTGGTGTTGTTGGTGTTGTTGGTGTTGTTGCTGTTGTTGTTGTTGTTGGTGTTGTTGTTGAACATTATTTATTCTAAAGAATAATTATTGTTGGGCCCCCTGGTGCGCGCCCCCCCTGCGCCGCCTAGGCCGCAGCTACATTTTCATCATTTTCGTGAGGAAGCCTCAGGTAAAACGATGTGATCCAGATCCGGTTGTTTTGTTGTAATCCGCTTTCCCTTGCAAAAAACAATATAAAATGACATTTCTTGTTCTAATATAATCAAATTTCAAGA